TGACAATCATGATCGTGCGATGAACTTTGAACGGTAATGGGGGTAGGACGAAATCACTGTTCATTTTTGTCTATATATATATATATATATATATATATATGAGTAAATTTAATAGTTAAGTTTTATAACTTAATACTTATAAGGAGTAATACCCTATATAACAAAGGGCAAGCTTTCTATGTTAGCTCTACAACATAAAACTTATATACTTCCCTTCTTATCCGATCATCTATTATGAATGGAGGGCTAAAATTGCCGCAATCACAATGTCACGTCTCTACACTATTTTATTTTTAAATTTTTTTTGACAAACTATTTTAACACTAAATTTGGTATGTCCAATCCTCTATTAAACTCGCACAAGCGAAAAATATAAAAAAATATGTTCAATAATATTAAATGACCAAAATACATCTGAAAATTTCAATGGGTAATTTGATTATTATATTTTTTCGAAAATTTATTTTTAATATTTTTTATAGGTGCGCCCAGTGGTTTAAAAAACGGATCGGTGACCCGGATCGGGCATCCCAAAATTCGATCTGAATCGGCGAATGGGAGATCCGAATCGAGAATCGGGCCGAATCGCTAGGATTAAGCCTTAAAAAAAATTATTAAAATTCATTATAAATGTTGTTTATTAGGAATCCAATAAGAAATGGGGTACTACATTATCAACTTTCATTGTTTTTATCAATTTATGAATATTGAGATGTTCTTTTCTTGTATGAACTTATGTTTACCATTAAATTTACATCACACAAAATAAATCTTAGAATTATCATGGATTAAGTATATAATCCTATATGGACTACAATAAAGAGTTGACTAAATCGATGAAAAATTGGCTACTAAAATCTCGAATTGGCGGAAAACCCTAATTCACTAAAAAAACCCAAATTATTACAACCTAACTAACTATAATATTATATACCAACAATATTTTATAATTAATTTATTATATAAATAATAACAAATCTAAAATATTTTATAATATCATCTAATTTAAAATGTATTAGTAACAACTGTAAGAAAAATAGTATACTACATGATTTATAATACAAAAATTAATAAATAAAATAAAAGATTTGGTTATCAATGTATAAATTATTAGAATACGTACCAATTTTCTTTAATTTTTTAGTTTTCTAGAATAAATTAGTGGAAGAGATTGTTAGTAGAAAGATAGAGATATTTTAAATGGCCTCATTGTATGAATCCTATCTTTAAATTAATATTACCAAATTTATGTTAACGACCATCATGTTATAAAAATAAAAAATATAATTAGACCATTTATTCCTAGGCTGTATTAATAAATACCTTTTATTTTTTTGACAATAAATACTTATTGTGTTATCTTTTATTTGTTTTTACAAGAAAAGTATGATACTTGTTGATTATCTTCTTTTTTTTTTTGACAAAAGAAGAAGATGTACTACTACATTTTTTTTTACTTGTTGTGTTACTTTTTATTTTATTTTACAAGAAAAATAAAAAAATGATGCTGCCAAAGTACATTTTATTTTTTTATGCGTTTTGTTTTATTTTTTGCAAGAAATACTTGTTATATTACCTTGTATTTTTTTACAATAAAAATAAAAAAATGTTGTATTATCTTTTTTATCTTTATCTTAAAAAGCCTTATGTTTTCTATTTGTTTACAACAGTATTTTCTGCCTTTGTTTATTTTTTTGACAACAAAAATTTATTTGACGAGGACACGAGCTAAGGTTCGAACTCTAGAGGTCTACCGAAAAATCGAAGTTGCCAACCAACACCGCCACTTTGCCTAATGTGATTTATTCGCTTATATAATAATATATATTCAATCGTCTTGCTTTAATGATTTTTTATGGAAATTATCCCACATCGAAGGATGAGCGTCACTTTGTGCTCCATAAATTCCTGTGTAATAGATATTGCATAGCACGTGTAGAAAAGCGAGGGGGCAGACATGTGAGGTGAGTTACCACGTATGGAGGATTTTAGGTGTTTTAGGTGCCACGTGTCGTGAGACTCGCGATTCACTATTGGGAATCGCCCGGTTCTCTCTGGACACGGGCGATTCCCGATTTTTTTGTGGAACCGGCTCGGTAGCAGACGATTCCCGAGTCGAACCCAGGGCGAGTCCGGCTCGACTCGACGAGTTTTCAAACCCTGGGTGAGCCCCAATGAGAAGATGGCACGTACGAAATTTCATATTCATACAGTTTGTATAAAAAAACTAAATATAAAATACTTTGAGACGTTGGATCTAAGATCAAATGGTGAGTGGCTCTCATAATCAAAATTGGATGGTTGGATGGTTAGGGAAGCATAGATCTTCTATGTTGTAGGAGAAGTATAGAAACTTTTTCCAATAACAAATACATCATCAACTCACATGGCATGCACAAAATTGGACGGCTGGATGGTTAGGGAAGCATAGATCTTCTATGTTGTAGGAGAAGTATAAAAACTTTTCCCAATAACAAATACATCATCAACTCACATGCCATGCACCTTGCTTGTGGACTAGCTCGATGGCTAACTCACATGCCATGCACCTCGCTTCTGGACTAGCTCGATGTTAGCCATGCACCTCGCTTGTGGACTAGCTCGATGGCTTGTAGTCATGCCCCTACAAATGGAGGTACCGGCAATAGGGACAATATGTCAAGGACAATGGTTTGACAAGGCTACTGCCTTATCAAAATAAGTAAAGCCACACCTTATAACTCATTGAAAATTCAAACATTGAAAAACCTTTACATCAATCATCTTGGCTTGAACATTGTGTTTGTGAAAAAAAATAGGATTTATCTAAGCCATCAATTTCTCCCTAAAAAGAAGTGTTCATCGATCCACAAGATTTGTACTGTTTTTTAAGTTGTAGAGTCACCCGAAAGTACTTTTCACACATGGATGTGAGGTGAGGCATTATTTTGTTTTCATAAAACATAGGCCTCATTGAAACTTCATCCATATCCTAAGACTTCTAGCTCTCAATGGGGTCAAAATTTCACTCCAACTCCATTAAGAAGAGCACATTAGAAATAAATTTTCTATGAAGGGGTGTTTTACCCCGTTATGGAAAAAGTTTATATAAGGTTGTAACTTTAAAATGTAGAACTATGATGCACTTCAAAAATCCATCCAAAAATATTTTTTTAATGTTAAAAACCCTCTAATTGAACATCTCGACATCGAGATGTATGATTATGAAAGAAAAATAGATTTTGAGTCCCAAAAATAGTATCTTACATCACATTATTTAGGCCGTCGTTTTCAAAATTGTCATATATTTCTAGATCTATTTGATTTTAACAATTTTTGAAGTTTAAAATTTTGTAATTAGATATAAAAATAGATTTTGAGATAATCATAAAGATATTTTACATCAAAATTATATGCTATGATCAAATTAGAAGGTGCGCTTTAATTGGGTTGTTTAATAACCACACCCTTTAGTTACTTTTGGTATCTTTTCGAGGGTATTTGTTTCATTTCTGGTTCCTTACTGGTATTTTCCCTTGTGCTATAAAACCCGCATTCTTTGACCAACCATATTTAGACAGTAGCGAGAGTTCAAAGATTTAGAGTGAGATATAGAGAGGAGGGGGAGAGAGAATGCACTCCTTTTGGTACAGGGCGAATGCCCTGCTAACCTTTGCGGTAACGATTTTGGCCCTAATGTGCGCCATGGCTTCCATTACTGACCATCTTAACGTCCCCCAACCCCAGGCCGATGTCCAGGTAAAAGTAAACCCTAATTCTTCGCTTAGTATATCTACTCTTCGCTTAGTATATTTACAGGCTTGTCTTTAGCTTAATTGCTTTGTATTTCCAGCGCCAATGCATAGCACTTAGGGTAAATTTGCTGAGTTTCAATTGCCATGTCCTTTGCTATAGCACCCCATAGATTGGTTTCTTATATGTGGGCTTTGGCGTCAATGCCTGAGATATATTTTGGAAAGATTAGATTTTTCTTACATCTACTTTATTATTTGTTTGATTTTATGGGTCAAGAGAGAAATTTATTGTTTGATTTGTTTGGAGGTTGTATGCCTTTGAATCTTAATACTATATCAGATCTTTGCTGTGAAGACTCTGGTAAGTTTCTCATACGTAAAACCATTGTGCTGATTTTTTTATTGATTTCGCCGTTCCAGTGAGTGAATTAGTAGACTAACAATCATGATTAAGCCACAACCGGGTATTATTATTTTGAAAACTCACTAGTAAACTACATCAACAATAATTCCTACTACCTTGAAACATAATTAAAATTAGAAATTTAGAATAAAGATCATAGAATGTAAAACGAAATCTAAATTAGATTCCATGTAATAATAATAATAATAATAATAATAAGAATAATAAGAATAATAATAATAATAATAATAATAATAATAATAATAATAATATAATAATAATAATAATAATAATAATAATAATAATAATAATAATAGTAATCATATTCCTTTTTTCAGTTTAAAGCTTTGAGTTTTATTTAGACCACAAATATTGCATGCCATAGGAATTTAGCCACAAGATCTGATTCTATCAGTCTTACATTGTCATTCTCCTTGTGCCCAATGATGTGTTTAATAAATATGTCCTCCGAGAGCTCCAGCTGATATGAGCTTGTTGGCTTTATTGCATTTAACATTTGGGTAAATGATGGAGTCCTCAGCTCCAGGAGCTTGCAGTCCAGTTAGAACCTTGGGTGTATGCTCTTTATTAACACACCACACTTGTCTGTGTCCACAACTTCCACCCAAAACCCTCAAGAACTCTCTCTCTACCATTTCTGGCAAAACCAACTGGTTCTCTCTTTCTAGTGGTCTCTCATGCTCTCTCTCTGCCTTTTACATATTAAGTTCACCTTCAGTTAGATCAGTGATTGGAGCGTCTTCAAACCATAAAAATAACACAGAGAAAAACCCACAAAATCCAGAAAAAACACGAGTTCCCCTCTTCCAGATGTATAGTTTCTATTAGTTAGGAATTTGAAAGATGTCTGTTTTCTCTAAGCTTCGAATATGAAAATTGTCCATTGAACTAGACTGTTTATCAGTAAAAATCAGTCAATTTGGGCCATTTCACAAGATTCAAAGTCCTCTCTATCGCCACATTAACAGATGAACATTAACAATTTATCTATCATCTAATATCAACTACGGAGAATTCCCCCAAAGAAGAAAGAGTTAAAAAAAAAAGAAAGAAGAAAATCTGGGATCTCGAGAAGGCGTATGCTGATATACAAGGTTGACACCCTGGGTCCTTGAATAATTTACACTGAAGAGAGAAACAAAGTGACGAGAGAGAAACAAGAAACCATCCAACCCCATATCAATGTTTGAATAGTGGCCAACTTTGGCCAGCAGATTTCGCCTGCTTTGACATCTAAAAGAGTTTCTTTCTAGCCAACAAAGGAAGGGAAAAGAGTCAAGAATAGTTTTACAAAGATTTGAGTTAGCAGGCCTGAATTTTCTCGTTCTATCTTCAAAAGCGAAAGGCACTCCCCCTGCCGTCCAAGAAGCTGAAGTTTCTCCGAAATGTCTTTCCCACTCTTATTTCTCAGTTCTGTTTCCCAATCTCTGCTCCAAGTCCTCTCCCCCAATCATCTGTACACATTCTTCAGGGATCCTCTCTCCCTCCCATGGCTTGACCTTTCCACACTCAAAACTCAAAGTCACCATCAATTTCTTTCTTTGGAGCAACAGAAGGAGATAGAATGCCCCTAGGAGAGAGAACCTATGTGCAGGAGACATCATCTCATCATGAGAGGAAAAATTAAATTAGGTTTTTTGTCGATAGAGTTAATTGTGTCACATTTTATGAGAGAGAGAGAGAGCTTGTGCTGAGAGCCACATTTTTCGTGATTTTGAAGCTTTGACTTTGTCATAAAACACCTGAATACATGTAACAAATAATATCACACACAGAAAAATAAAAAAATATTTGAATACAATGGGAATTAACCTGAAAATTCTGCTAACAATTCCAAAAAAATCACGAGCAATTTGTGATAAAGAAGGTTAAACTGAGAGAAACTAATAATGGTACAAAAATACTATGATTGCAGAAAAAACTCATGCTATAATATAAAAATTGCACTTGTCAGTTACCCAATGGACGAAAGTATATTTTGAAATCAAACAAAAATGCATGATCTAGCTTTTAATGAGTTGATATGCAAATATACATTATTTTCAAGAACCCAAAAAATTTACACAAATTACACAATTTAAGAGCCAATACCTATTGTAGATTGATCATAAGACAAAAAAAAAACACTGACGGATTTATTAGCTTTAGGCTTCTAATCAGAGAGATCCAGGGCTCGTTGAGTAGGTTGTCAACAAAAAAACCTAAAACTTTTCCATGAAAATAACCCTTGCGACTGGAAAAATGGTTTCATGAGTCTCAAAGATCATTGAAAAATGGATTTTGAGCTCAAATTTGGGTCTAAAGTTCCTCCAAATGAGGCACAAACAAAAAAAGGGGCCTCATATTTTTTGGCAAACAAAAACGTCCCCAAAAGGGTCGGGCGATTTTCCAATACTTGTACATGAACCAGCCGATTCACTATAATGAACTGGCGGGTTGTCTCAAATAGGAGCGAGTCCCAGATTAGGAGGCCTTTGGAACCGGGAACCCATGATCTCGAGCCAACTAGGGCGATTCCGAGTTAGCTTGACGATTCTTCTAATCACTACTATGAAGTCTTGGACTAAATACTCTGCCAATTGAACTTTTTAGAAATATGCACTCTTGCTTCTTTCGTAGACATCTTTGTGCTATTGAGGTGTTTCAAAAGGTGATATGTTGGTTAACGTGTATGAGGAAATCAATTACTTGGCTTATTGTGTTTAATTTCTTACTTACTATATGTTCTCAATAACTGCAGCATGTCTTGTCATGCCTTGCATGATGGTTGAAACATGAATTTTAATCATTTTGGTATTTGTTAAGTTTCTGACTGTGAATTTTCCTTTCAGGTATCAAATATCAACTGGTTTCGGAAGCAACCGAATGGAAACGATGAGGTTGTTCCTTGTCAGGAAAATTTTATATTTTAGGACTTTATACTGAACTGGTGTTCGTTTCTGTGAGGGAGTAGAAAGTAATTCTATATATAAATAAAAATAGAACTAACTTATTCGTGGTGAGTGGTCAGTTTCTTATGCATGGAGAAATTGGGGAATTTTTCTGTATAGTTGATTTCCTAATTATTTTAGATGTTTATTGTCAGTTCTATAGGAAGTTACAGAATAGCTCATTTTCTTATAGATTTATCTGCTTTCTAATTATGGCACTTGCTTGTTCAATCTCACATGCTCCTTTGAACTTCTTACTCAATGAAATACATAATTTTTTTCTTACCATCTGCACAACTGATAATTTTGCTTATTGTATTGGGAGTACAGACACCGTTGGCTACTGCAAGTAAATATTCGTGGTCACTCCAATTAATAAACTTATTTGTTTGTCAGTCATTAATTCTTGATTACTGCATTTGCCTGGTGGAGACACAGGAGTCGGTTGATCACTTATTAATTTTTGCTCCTTTGAGATCAGTGTGTGGTTTTCATTTCAAGTTGTTGGGTTGGGGTTTCTCATCTTCTTGTTTGAATGGGAGGTTACTTTTTCATCCTCAGCCTCGTTAATCATAGGGTCCACGTTGAGGAGCCTGTTTTTTAGGGTGTAAGGTCCTTAGAGGAAGGTTTAGGACATATCTATCTTCTTCGATTTGATGTTGTTGGATATAGTATGATGGGAAGTAAGTTCTTCGGAGTAGGTGCTTAAACCCATAGTTCAAGGAGCAGAAGTGTTCAATCCCGCATCTGAAAGGGATTATATGGGGATAGCTTCTATAGAATGGCTTATTGCAAATCATGTTTGTTTGCACCTTCAAACTTGTATCTAAGTTTTGAGTGAACTATTTTTTGGGTATATAAAGCTTATCCTATTGGAAAATGGGTTGTTGACAAATTTTAGATGTTCAAGAAGATAATGGCATCTTTTAGTTTTGTAAAATGGGAGTATATGTCCTCTGCTAAGCAATGGATGTAGAAGAGTAGTTGGGTCCTATCTCAGTCACTCCTATTTTGACATTCTAAGTGCGATTTATTCTCATTCCTTGGTAATATACAGTAGCTCATACAAAGCAGCAACTGTCATCAATCTGAATAGGTTCTGGAGGGACAAGATCTCCCTGGAGTGATTTGATATAAATTTCCCATCTTCCCATTTGCAAAAAATCAGTATGAATCCTGATTATATCTGAACCCTAAATCTTCTAGAAAATTACTCAAGCTCGTACATGAATTTCACTTACTTATCCCAGCAAAACAAAAAACTGGAATCTCTCATAAATTAGTAAAGGTACTAAAAGATTGGAGACATGCATTAGAACTTTAGTACAGTGTTAAAATGCTCAAGCGGTAGCCAAGGTGGCCAGGGAAGAGGAGGGAGGATGAGAAGAAGAACTAAAAAGAACAAAAAAAAAAGAAGAAGAGGAAGAAGAGCGATGGAGCTTGCCTTGGCCAAGGCACCTAAGGCCTTGGCTTGCCCCAAGGTGCTGCGTAGGCCCTGCGGTGGGGTGACTTCTAAAATGCTGCTTGAGTATCCCATTGAAATGACAACAACCCCCACCCCCCTTCCCACTCTCTCTCTGTATACACACACACACACACACACACACAAATACGCAATTTTTTGTTAATTTTATGTTGCTTCATATGTTTCCTCAGCCTGAATTTTATATTGTCTTTTGCAATGCGCATGGTATTTACTTGGTTAAGATAAGCATTGTATGAAGTCCATAGAAATGACAACCCCCCTTCTCTCTCTCTGTGCACACACACAAATACATTTTTGATTATTTTATGTTACGTCATCCCAAGTTTCATATTTACCATCCATTGTCTTGAATTTTATTTTTCTAGCAAATTTTGATGTTATATATATGTTCTACACATCCACATCTTTTGCAATGCGAGTGGTATTTACTTGCTTATAGTATAAGCATTGTATGAAGCCCGTGAACTGTTTTCCATACCTTGATTTGGAATGTGGGGAGGGGCCTGGCCAGTCTCTCTCTGCTGTTGTTGCCTTGTTATTATGTTCTGGTGATTAGAGACTATCTTTTGCCGAATACTTGGTGCCCGTGGAGACTAATGAGGTTGATGCTAGACCTGTGGGTTTGAGGACTGTTGCTTGTGTTGGAACTTCGATATGATGCCTGGGATGAAGCACAAGAGTATTGAACATGGAGCCTGGTTATGTAGCTTGGGAAGGTCCTGGCTTTCGTTTTCTGATTGCTCCTCATGTTTTGATTATTGGCTTTCTATTGCATTTTTTTCCTTTTTTTTCTTGTAAATTAATACTGGTAAGGAAATGAGCATGCATCCTACTAGAAGGAGCTTATCTTTAGGAATTAGCCATAGGATTTGATGGAACATTTCTAGCTGTTACTAGATTCATGGGAGGTTAAGAACATGCTTTCTAGGCATCCTGATTCTGAGTTGTTAAGTAAGTTTTAGTGGACTCAGTCATTTGACAATTATCTTGGTAACCTCTTCATTGCCATTGGTAGAGCTTATTAAAATTATGTTTGGGAACCTCTGAGCAGAAACATTGTAGAGAAGCACATGTCATCATCATCATTAGATCCTTCTCCCTACTATTTGGGATCGGCTGCACGAATCCTAGTATGCCTTTCTGCTTTATCAAGGGCCATACCCTCATTGAGGCCATCTGGTACAGTGCTTCCCTTATGGGGAATGCCCTAGCATACACAAATAATTTAGATTCAGGATTCATGGAAAGTTTTGGCAGAGTTTGACGTTGGCTGCCTACCTAACACAACCCACCTCTTTTTTTCGGGCTTGGGAATGGTTACGGGAAAGTTTAAGGTCCTCACCTTTCTTAGACCATAGAGGAGGATATGTAGTCCCGATAAACTTAAAGTAAGGAAAGTATTGCAGTATTCAATCCTCTTGCGTATAGATCGAAATCTAGGCAGGTTTGCATATTTCTTATTACAAACTGTCTATAAAATAAAAGTTGAGAGTTTGTAATTCTATGGTTATTCTTTGGTATCTACAGTATTGCAGTATTCAGTCCTCTTTCGTAGAGATTGAAATCTAGGCAGGTCTGCATATTTCTCATTTCAAACTCTGTCTGTAAGATAAAAGTTGAGAATTTGTAATGCTATGGTTATTCTTTGGTATCTACAGATTCTTCACTGTCCAAAGTGAGTTGTTGTCAATCACATGAGTCTTCTTCAATTAATTTCCATTGTGTTAAAGGCACCATATGTGTATCATGATATTAATATTTGTTCTGTTTCTTTCTCAAAAAAAAATATTTGTTCTGTTTCCATTAATCTCAACATGGTGTCCTTTTGATATCGGAGTTCACAATATTTGCATCTAAGGCTCAACAAGCAGTTAGCCTCTTGAAGTCTTTTTATCTTTTAGTAAATGGCAATGATCTTATGCTTGATCGCATTGATCGGTTTCCCCATTGCATGGATAGTATATATATATATATATATATATATATATATATATATATATATATATAACTAACGTACCTACTAATCTAGTAGTAGTACTTATTTACTTTCTTACTACGTTAGTCGTATTCTTCTTAAGTTTACGTTACGTTAGTTAAGTT